TGCCTCGATGTATATGTTCGTGGATCTCAGTATTAGCTTGTTTGAGTGAGGCTCCATAGAGTGAAAATCGCTTGGTATCTCTACGTACAGTGCTTTGTGCAAGCACTTAAATAGTTTCGATAGATAGCAGAGTTCTACATTCATTTCGACTGGTTGGAGTGCAGACCATCGAGAACTTTATTTGGCACGAACACATTTCGCCAATAGCGGCAGCTGTTGGGAAAACCTAGGATCTTTAGGGCTAAAAAGTAATTCTTTCCAAATAACCTCCTCACACTGTATAAGTTCCAGATAAGACCTAGACCGGAGTACTACACACATGTTTGGTGTGCTGCAAGCAGCGCAGGTTGCCTACCAGGGTTCTGATATCAAAATTTCTAGGAGGGGCCCCACGCAACTATGACGAAGCTCAAATGGAGGGTAAGATTTGAGGTACAGATTTTTACAAAGGAAACATAGACGCTTGCATTGTAATACGAGTGTGTATTGCCACGTATTGACCATGGGCGCCCGCAAAAAGTTTTCTCAGTCAGTGCACCTACCCTCATAACCTCTTGAAAAATAACAATTTTCTGAACATCTTTAAGGATAATCTAACATCTTTGTGGAGAGGTTACAGTTTTTAAAAAATAAAAAAAATTGATTTTATCGTTTCTGATTGCTTCAAGTCACACATATTCATAAACATTATGCACCTCAAACAGTTTCTTTAGCTATGCTTATCTTTACTCATGGAAACTTTGAAACTAGCCTTAGGCTTGGGATGTATCGAGTCAATCTACTTGCCACCATTTTAAGATGTTTTAATTAGTTTTAATTTCGGGAAAACAGTTAAAAACAGGAAGCATGGAACACCTAGCCGTACAATCTAAGGATAAGCGCTTGAGAATTTTAATTTAGGGTGTGGCCTAAAAACTTGGGTAAAATTGATTTTTTTGGACTTGGGGACCTTGGCTGACTATATCATCTGTGCTCGAAGCTGTTCAGTGGAGGGCGCTCTGACTGATTAACGACTATTCTTTAACGGACAGTCTCGGCAACTTTTTCGCACCGACGGACGACGTCCTCCTCCATAATGCCTGCCTGACTTTGACCTCCCATCCTAACCATGTCAAGTTTCGTAGAACTGACCGGTACGACCGCTCCTTTGTGCCTAGGGTTTCAAGATTGTGGAACAATCTGCCTGAGGGGCAGTTCAAAATCGGATTAAAATGTGTTATTGTGCTGCAAAATAAAAAAATTGTCCCTCGTACGAGCGATAAAAAGTTATTTGGCACCTCCTCACCAATAAATCTCAGTTGACCCGAAATCTCGATGAAGACATGATCTCGTCGCATCTCAGGCAATTCACGTCCGCGTCGTGTCGGATAATTTTCTTCAAAATAACTTAATACACGTTGCTTTAGCGTATATTAAGAATGCAATAAAAGTCAATGTAGCACTAATTTTACACTTTGATGCCGTGTGGTGTTAGCGCGCATCCATGGAACCGAATTAGTAATCAAACTGGTGTAATTCAATGGGACAGACAGCAGGAAACCGCGATCAGCAAGAGAAACAGCGCTAAACGTGTCGACGCTGACAGTTTGCGCGCCTACGCAATCGGTTTCGTTGGAGAACAGAAATTAGAACAGTTGGTGGATCAATTTTTTGTTTTTTACGTCCCACGACTACCGGCGAGAAAGTATTTTTGTAAAAAAAATTAAAAGTTCGCCAATTTTAGTCTAACAGACAAGGTTAAAAATCGCTTTAAAATAAAGTAATCTCAAATTACCCTTCGGGGACTTGTAAAGCAAGGTTCAATTTAGATACTGTCTGAACTCAAAAACTATAATGTTTAACCATGTTTTGAATATACCTTTTTAAGACTTTTCGAGCTCTAAATTAATAATAATAATAATAATAATAATAATAATAATAATAATCATAATAGTAATAATAATAACAATTAACGTATTTTATTTCTAATATTCTTATAATATATCTGTTCTACCATCTAACCCCCTTAACAATACGAGATGTTAAAAAAACAGAATTTGTTGAAAATTAATAGCTGTATACAATAACGACAGAATAAAGTATAATCTAAGTAAAGGCATAAGGAAAATATTATTCGCTGCTGATCAAGTAGAACTTCTATCACTTTTTTCTTGAATTTGGGTAATGGATTGGTTTATTTTAAACTGCGGTCTAAAGAATTATATGATTTGTTCGCATTGTAAATATATGTATTCTGAAATAAAGATGGGCTGTGGCGTGGAATTGAAAAAGTCTATCTATGTCTAATATTAATGCCATGCATATTCCCTCTACGTATGAATTTTTTTTATTAAATATGACGGTGTTTTTGAATAAAGAACCTTATGAGTCACATTTAGGAGCTGGTACTTATACATTTTATCAATTTTCATCCAGTTGAGTTCATTAATGGCATTCGATATATGATCATACTTTCTGCGACCATTTACAAGTCTGCAACACGTATTCATAATACTTTGAATAGGATTTCTTGTTATAATATCTAAATAGGGATAGTAAACCACTAAGCAAAACGATATCTTTGGTACCTAGGTTCCTCGATAGATCCACAGGAACTAATTTATTACCTTTTAAATGTATGTCTATGTCCTCTTTTAAAGTTTTCTTTTTTGTTCTATTTTCGTATACCAACATATACAGGTATGTCTTCAAAGGGTTCAAACGAAGATTATGACTACTACTGAACTTTTCAATTTGGGTAAGATCTTGATTAATTTCATTATTTGCTGTTTCCAAGTCATTACTCCTAAATGAATAGAAAATTTGAGTATCTATCTGAGATATATACTGAAAATAATAGGGGTCCTAAGACTGATCCCTGTGGTACACCAGAACAAATTTTTTGTTCGGTAGAGTACTGTTGATTTAGACGAACTTTTTGATACCGATTTTCAAGGTAGGTTTGAATAAACGAAAAAGGTTTTTCAGAGAATCTATCATAACTGCATTTAGACACAAGAAGTGAGTGATTAATGATGTCAAATGGTTTTGTAAAGTCAAGAAGTATGAGAGCTACTGCTTTTTGGTTATCAAGTGCCATTGTTCTATTGTCTGTTAAATCACAGAGTGCCGATGCTGTATTACCTTGTCGAAATCAAGATTGTTTAGATGGAATAATTTTGTTAGAATATAGGTAGGCGCAGAGCTGCTCGTAAACAACGCGTTCTAATACTTTAGAAAAAATTGGCAGCAGACTGATCGGTCTCAGTTGACCATAGTTAGTAGGATCGGAACACTAAGGTACGGAACAACTATAGCGCGTTTCCACTGGTTGGGTAAATATCCCCTCTCTAAACAGCAGATGATAATCTGTGTTAAGTACACATCAATTTCAGGTATACATAGTAGTATCATATGCAAAGATATTACACTTTATTAAATTGAATTTGCTGATAACTTGAAAATGGTCAGCTTAAGAGAAAAGTTATTGGAAGACTTTTTGGTCAAAATGATCCAAAAAACCTCAAGAAAAATTTTCCGGACAAAAACAATTATTTAGAAAAATTGTTTAAAACTATATAATTTGATCTGGGATACCGTGTGGCTATATTCAATGTTTGAAAATTCGGTTAAAACGTATGTCCTAAAAGCTTTGGCACAACACATTTATCGGATTTCTTTTAATAAAGAAATTTATTTAAACACTAACTAGTTATCATATATACGTACTATCGAACTATGCGGACCTCTCACGAGGTCCTGGATGGAATTCAGATCAATTTATCTCAGCTTTTCGTATATTCGCCGTCTTAGTCGTTCTTCATCTTGGGCTTCCCAGCCTCCATGATAAACCTTCCTAGACAGTAAAGCCTATAAATCCTCTGTTATACGTACACGTATACATACGTTATCTAAATCAAAGTTGAAAGCTTGATCTACAAAACGTATTTTGAGATTAGCTAATTTTATAGTTGTCAGGTCAAAATTGGGGAACTTTTGGTTACCGCCGACTGTACATCACGAACCACCATGTGACTCTTTTTCGTCGGTCTGGCGGTCCGTCTGCCGGTCTGTCTGTCCGCTAGTTTTTGGCCCATCTACAAGTTTGTACGTACTGCTAGGATTTGAGTGAAGTTGTCACACATTATTGCTACTATCCCAAGGACGAAAAATGTCTGTAGTGTCTCAAAATCAGTCCAGTCGCAGCGGAGCTACGGGTAAAAAAGCCAAAAAAATTAAATGACATTGATTGAGACATTACAGAGACTCCTGGATCTTTTTGGAAAATTGTTTGTAGGGGATAAAAGTTGGGAACTGGGCGTTGAAAAGGGTAGGTGATGATATATCTCAATTTTTTATAGGCCGGCATATTTATAAGCCTCTAAGAGCCGTAATTCTACGCACCTGTGACTTATTTTACTTATCATGGATTTACTCTTTAAGCTTACAAAAAATGTCTCCAATAGTCGCGTGTCGATATGTGCGCCGTGTTCCGGTCGACGGATGTGCGTCGTGGGTCACATTCCGTACTGGGCTGTGGCGCTGTGGTAGTCGTGAACGACGTCATCCATGTGGGAGTAGTCATTGCAAGGATAATATGCGCCCGCATAAATTATTCTTCTTAGTGTTAAGGAGGAGGGTCATTTGTCGAGCATTCATTTTCGGGAAGGGAGAGGGTGGCAAAGTACTCCAAAAATGTACTCAAAAGCAGTCTGAATATGGCTGTTTGACTGACTTCATCTATTTATTTTTTGTTATACATGCTCGTAGCTCACTTTTTTCTCAGAAGATTATAATTCATGAAAAGTACATGGTCAACCTACCATTCCTTTTCTTTCCATTCGTTTACTAACAGTTGATAATTAGTCATTAAGTTTATTACCTTTGGGATATAGATATCTATTATCTTTATTACCTTTAACTTAAGAAGAGCAGAGACGCAACAATGTCATTTGTGGAAAATATGTGAATAAAATGTTGAAAAAAGGGCAACCACATTTTTTATATTTTATCTAATAAAGATCTTAATGAACGAACGGGAATTAGCGACTTCACTTCTGCTTATAATAATGATCACATTGACTCTCCAACCAAATTGCAGTTCCTCTTACGCGACAAAGAATCGAGATCTGACACAACGAGAAAAAAGAAACAAATAATACGTATGCATTCAAGTTTAAGATGATAAACAAGTACACATATAAATTGCACACCGCTATTCACAGTCTTGCCTTTAAATTCACTTGAGTTCAGGAAGAGTGGACATCATGAACATGACTCGTACTGGAGACTTTGAAACAAGTTGGTGATTTCACGGGTGCAACAGAACAAAGTATTTTATCAGGAACTGGTACTTGGAAATAAAAAAATAGAAACTGCCATATACGTCACATAACATGTGGAGTAAACTTATCGGGTCATACGATGAGACTCATGTCGTTGTTCTTGACATCACAAAAGCCTTGGAACAGTTCTGGCATGCTATGTCCTCCCAGAAGAACTTTATGCATCCTCAACATTGTTTCTATTATATATCAGCAACCTCCTTTCCTGTACGAACAATCCAACTCACAGCTTTGCTAAGGACAGCACTCTACATGCAGGAATTCAGTGGCAAGCTGATCTTTGTCGGCCAGTTGAAGAAGACTAGCAGCGACTGTCTTTCTGGATCTAGATGTTATTACTGCTTGGGGACACAACAATCCGGTACAGTTTAATGCTTTCAAAACACAGTCTTGTACTTTGTATAACAAGAAGCATCCTAGCGTTCATCGGGTTTCGATGGATCGCCAAGTTCTACCACGACCATCCCTCATTAATTGCGGCAGCTGCTGGGAAATAGCTAGGCTATTTGTTTAGGCCTATGAAGTAATTTCTTTCACACTAACTAACTCTGTACAAGGAACAGATAGTGCGCAGCCCCGAGTACTGCTCACATGTTTGGGGTGCTGCCTCCCCAACTTCATTACTCATGCTCGATACTGTTCAAAGGATCTTATGTATGATCTGGCACCCGTCTCCGAAAAGGCAACAGGCCTCGCTGCTCAGAGCTCTCCTCCATGGTACCGCCGCACGATGAGCCTGCCAAACGGACTTGCCTGACTTCGGCCTACCATCCCAACCGTGTCGAACTTCGTATATCCAGAACTGGACGACGGTTTCTTTGTCCCTAGGGTATCGAGAATATGGAACAATCTGCCTGAGGAGGCTTTATCCAGTTCTACTAACCTCAGGCAGTTCAAAAATGCTTAAGAAAGCATCTTTAAGCTCTTGATGGCAGCCGAAGTGCCCCGGTACTTAGGCTTCTGCTTATGCGACTGTTTCGTTATGAAAGGAGTCTGAAGAAACTGCATACAATACTATGTAAAACTTTATATAAGAAAATGATGGAGTTGTGTTTTCTTATTTCACTCTCACTCTCACTCAACGAGGCAATTTGGAAACTTTTCAACAAGATTTGACAGTCGGACCTACGTACAGGATAAACTCGATCAATCTTGCAAACCAGATACTGCAGAATTTTTTAACATGGTCCATTTGATTTATATAACAGTTACAGGGTTTGTCCGGAAAGTAATAGAAGTCATTTTCTTCCGCCATGACTGTACTTCGGAGCGTGCGCGCACCGACTGGATTCGGTAGAGGGCGTTCCTAGCTAACGAATGAGGGGCTGGTCAGTTGTCTCCGAGCCCTTGGAGAGTCAGGACAGGCATTTTCGCGCGACGTGTTTCTGTGATTGGTGCAAGTCGAAAATGCAGCGTTCGTTAGAGCAGAGGTACGCGATTAAATTCTGTGTGAAACTCGGTAAATCTGCGACAGAGACGTTTGATATGATCAAGCAGGCTTACCCAGGTGTTGCTTTAGCAAGAAGTGGTGTGTTTCGGTGGCACCAGGCCTTTTTGGAGGGCCGAGAAGAGGTCGCTGATGAAGACCGTGCTGGGAGACCTTCGACTTCGACAAACACCGATAATGTGACTCGTGTGCGCAAAGTTTTGAACTCAGACCGTCGACTAAGTATTCGTTCAATTGCCCAGATGTTAAATTTACCAAAATCTGTGGTTCATGACATTGTGACACAGCATTTGAACATGCGCAAGGTGTGCGCGAAGATGGTCCCAAAAGTGCTCACTGACGACCAGAAATTGCGGCGAGTGGAAGAAATTGCGGCGAGTGGAAGTGTGCCAAGAAAATTTGAACATGTGTGAAAGTGACCCCCAATTTTTGAATAACGTAATCACCTATGACGAGTCGTGGATCTCTGAGTATGATCCCGCGATAAAGAGACAATCTTCCGAGTGGCACACGACGGCGTCTCCTCGCCCAAAAAAAGGAAGAATGAGCAAATCCAAAGTGAAAACGATGCTCATTGTCTTTTTTGACATCAAAGGCATCGTCCACCATGAATTTGTTCCTCCTGCACAAACCGTCAACGCCAAGTTTTACGTTGAAGTGCTCAGGAGACTCAAACGAAGGGTCAGTCGGGTCCGACAAGACATCGCAGCCGACTGGAAGTTGCACCACGACAACGCCCCGGCTCACACCGCCATTCTTGTGAACAGCTACCTGACCAAGGCCGGCATCCCAGCGCTTCCGCAGCCGCCCTTCAGCCCAGATGTGGCCCCCCCGGACTTTTTTTTGTTTCCTCGCCTGAAAAGGCCGATTTAAGGCAAGAGGGGATGCGAGCAGCATGCACCGCGCTCTCAAGGCTATTCCGGAGAATGCCTTCCGTGACGCCTTCAATGCTTGAAAATCGCGTTGGCAGCGCTGCATCGACGCAGAAGAAGACTATTATGAAAGTTTTTGAGGAATTGTAACGATTGGCTCAATAAATTTTTTTAAATCGACTCAGTCCTATTACTTTCCGGACATACCCTGTATATTGCACAGTAAGATAATAACATAGCTGCGTCTCAACGATCTTGAAAGCCTTTAAGCCTTTTTACATCCTGGTGAAATTGCTTCCTTTGTTTATTAATAACAGTTCCAAGATCTGAAGGAAAAATGAAATGGTAATGGAGAAAATGAATTTTCAATAACACCCGACAGGCCATCCTCTTGTATGCACTTAACATACCATTTGTTAACACTTCCGCGATTTCGGATTTGTGATGAAGTGAAAAACCGTTTATCAAAGCTTTTAATGATTTCCACGCGGATAGTTCTTTGTCATATATACTTCAAAAAGTGGTCTCCAATCCACTTGAACAGAGTGTAAAAAGACCGCTATTGTGCCATAATATTGCCCTGTGCCTCAATGTATATGTTCGTGGATCTCAGTATTAGCTTGTTTGAGTGAGGCTCCCTAGAGTGAAAATCGCTTGGTATCTATACGTAGAGTGCTTTGTGCATGCATTCATTTCGACTGGTTGGAGTGCAGATCGTCGAGAACTTTATCTGGCACGAACACATTTCGCGCTGGCAGCGCTGCATCGACGCAAAAGGAGCTTAATTTGAAAGTTTTTAAAGAATTGTAACGATTGGCATAATAAATTTTTTTAAATCGACTCAGACCTATTACTTTCCGGACAAACCCTGTATAGTAAGGACTTCAAATCAGCGAAGTGTAATAATCATGGTGATATACCTGTATTGTAGAAATTGGCCTATACAGCCTTATTTAGGTAAAAGACAATAAAGTGTAAGAATCGAAGTCTGAACTAAATAAGTAGAACTATTACGCCAGAACAGAAGTGAAAATATGTGATATTTCGGCTTCAATTCAAAAAACAGTAACATACTACTGCTGCTTTTGTATTCTGCAAAACTGTACTGCCTTCTTCTGTTGTTTTCTTAATCTATCTATATAATTTTTTCGAGAGAAAAACGCAGTAATGCAGAATTTCATTTTATTCTCATATAATTTATTCATATTGAAATTCCCATAAATAGCACAAAAGTAAACCTTTTCAACATCTAATAGTGCAATTTAAAAATTATAATAAAAATATTTATTTACAAACAGTAGAATTAATACATAATAACTAAATGAGTAAACATCATAGTATGGGTAAAAATATAGTACCTGTATCATACAGAGAATACAAGCAGTTTAGTTTGAAGACAACTACTTTCTTGCTGTGATGAACTGATACACTGCTTTTATGCTTAGAAAATGTAGTTATAGTCGAAATCACGAAAGATGACGATTACGTCATACCATAAATTGTAACGAAATAATTACCGGACGTACGTCGATGATAAGGTTAAGATGTCAGGAATATGTGATCGAAGTTAGCTGATTTCAGTGATTATTTTTATTTATTCTATTTCATGATTTTAAATTATCATTATCCGTGCACAAATTTACATTTTAAGACTTCTATTTGCAATAAAATTACATATTTATTAAAAAAAAAACAGTATTTCCTCTGTTCACAATAATAGTACGTATTTTGAACCTATTTTTCATCTAATATTGTTGAGTCCCTAGAGTTCTTACCAAAATCATAATAATACATTGGTATTAGCTCCATTAAAACGATCAATTGATTCTGAGAACATGGTTTTATTTTATAAAAAAAAATACAAACACAAATAAGCATACCAAAGTGAAAATATTTTTGTACTATTTCATGTCATGCCATCCACTATTCATTTTAGCATAAGCTACAAAATTATATAAAACATATATCAAATAAAATAAACTGTACATTTCAATATGTTATTCCATTACTTATGGTCAAATTCAGATTAAAAATTAATCGCTACTGTCAGATTCAGTATCGCTATCTGAATCAAATGAGATTATCAGTGGTTCTATTTCACGAGTAATAGTTTTGTTGTACCACTCTAAAATTACGTCATGGGTATGCTTCACACATTTTTTCCAAACCTCTAGTGTAATTTGTAACAGAGCTTCATTCCACATAGCTAAAACATTTTCATCACTATGACCACATCTTCCAATATGTCTATCATAATACTGCTTAGCATTGGCCCATATTAACTCGATGGCATTAAATTCACACTGGTATGGGGGGGTACGAAAAACTTCATGTCCATAACTTCTTATGATTTCATCTATTAAATACTTCTTTTCCTTACGATTTCTTTTCACTATATTCAATAACTCCAATTTAGTTAATGTTGGTTGGAACACAATTTCATTTTTAACCAGCCAGTCAATAATCTCTTTTTTTGGAGAACTTGTGTTTGGAGTCTT